TCTAATGAGGTGACTCTTGGTGGGCCCCTAGGTAGCTTGAGGATGGGGCTGGTCATTGGAAAGACCAAGCTTTGATTAGAACCTTGGAATTTTCAGGCCCACCCTGAAACCTAAGGGGAGAAGGAAGGGGCTGGAGACAGATTTTATCACCAAAGGCCAATGATTTGATCAATCATGTTTATGTGATAAAACCTCCTTAAGGTGCTGGGAGGGTGGTGCACCCAGAGAGGGCATGGAAGCTTCGTGCACCCACCCCTCATTTCTTCCCCTGTGCTTCTCTTTATTTTTGGCCGTTCCTGAATTGTATCCTTTACGATAACTGGGTAATAGCAAGTAAAGTGCTTTCCTGAGTTCTGCGGGCCATTTTAGAAGATTACTGAACCTGAGGAGGAGGGTTGGGGGAACCTCTGACTTCGTAGTCAAGTGGGACGGAAGGATGGGTAACCTGAGGACCTGATACTGGCGACTGGCATCTGAAGTGAGGGCAGTCTGTGGGACTGAGCCCTTGAACCTGTGGAGTCTGGTACTAACTCTGGGTAGTTAGTGTTGGAACTGAATTGAATTGTAGGACACTCTGTCAATGTCAGAATTGGCTGGTGTCAGGAGGGAAACCCATCAAGGAAATAGCATGTCCCCGTCCACTGGAGACACTCAAGCAGGGCCAGACAAGATGACTGTCGGCAAAGCTGTTACAGGGCTTCGTGCCCTGGGTAGGGGACTGGCTAGGTGAACGCTGAGGCAGGAGGAACGGTCCACGGTGACACGCACAGGAACAGAAAGCAAGCATTCAGGAATGTTTATGGCACTCTGAGCTTTCTGTGACACCTCAGCACGTGCTCCTTAAACAGAGTCCAGCCCAATCTGGTGTTAGGAAATTTGGTGGTGAGATGCATGAGGTGGGTACTGCATACTGCTCGTGCATGATAGGGCCACACAGAGTCCTGCTCCAGATTGGAAGTAAAACAGTGGGTCCTTCACCACAAACGGTCTAGGAAGCGCTGCTCTGGGGCCTCGGCCCCACTGTGCCATCCCTGATGAGGCCTCGCCCGACCACCCCATCTAAGCAGGGCTCTTCCTGTTACTTTGCACCATGGTCCCGTCTGTTTCTGCCACAGTAGCTCCAAAACTGGCATCATCCTGTGTATCTGTGTTACTTATTTATCGACTGCTCTCCCTGCCAGTCTGTGAGCCCACGAGGGCAGGGACCTCAGCAGTCTTACTCACCCCTGCATGACCAGTCTGACACTGAGACAGGATCCAGGGAATGTGGGTTGAATGAATGACTTGGCACATTATATGAAAAACGCTCCTGTTAATAACTTAGGTTTTTGGTAATGGTGGGCCAGGTTATTTGACCAACCCTCCCAGTGAAGAAACTCAAAGTACTAGAAAGAGATTGAAAACCATCTCCTTAAAAGCACTGGAATGCTTACCAGATGGTACGAAATTATCAGCCCAAACTGAAAGGTAAGAGGGAGCCCAGAGAGGTAAGTGGGGCAGGGAAGCTCTTAGCTTCAGAATATCTGTCAATCGTGGCAAACAAAGCTTTGGTTCTGGTGACTTCATGGAGCAAGAGGGCAAAGAATAAATCCCCAGGACCCACTGAAGTAGGTCAGTCTCACAGGAGACCCACCCCTCTCCACATTAAGCTGGGACCCAAAGGGCTAGGTATGCAAGGGAAGAGGGACCAGGGGCCAGAAGAGACCCTCTACTCGAAGGTGCCAGGGAGGCTGCCCCGGCACTGACCGGGCTGAGTGGGGGGTGTCTCTGAGGAGCTGTGACCGTAGTCGGCCTCCCTGTACATCTGCAGCTCCATTCGGCATCACCTGGGTGGCTTAAAAGTCCCAAGCTGGGACTTTAGTCTAAAGGTGTCTGGAAAAAGTGAATGCAAATCCTCCCTCCGACTCTGACTCCAATTCCAATATGTGTTTTTTCCCCACACCTCCCAGCAATTTTCCAACACCAGCTGGATGTCCTACCTGAACCACAAACAGCACACAATTAGGCTGCCAAGCACAGAGAAACACAGTACACCATGAACATATGCCAAGGGAAAAAGCAAACGACAGCAGGCAGCCACAACAAACTTCACACACTGGAATTATCAGTCAGAGATGAGAAAACCATTATATGGACTAGGTTTAAAAAAATAAAAGGCAAATTTGACATGTTAAGATGTCAAAAGTAACTATAAAAAGTGACCAGGCAACCTTGGGTTAGCCAATGGTTTCATAGATAAAACACGAAAAACATAGGGAACAAAAGAAAAAATGAATTAGACATCATCAAATTTAAAAACTTTTGTGCTTCAAAGGACACAACCAAGAAAGTGAGAAGACAACCTGCAGAATCGGAGAAAGTTTTTGAAAATCATATATCTGATAATGGTCTAGTATCCATACCGTGTAAAGAACTCTTAAAATTCAATAATAAAAGGAAAAATACCCAATAGTG